CCCCCCCCCCTCAGTATTATTCTTTGACCCTCCCCCCCCCCCCCCCCCCCCCGCTGTTTTCACAAAGAAGAAAACAAATTTCTTCTAGTAGTCTGATCCATTGAGAAAGACACTTTTGAATGTTAAGTCTGTTAAGCATCCAGAACTCTGTTGCTGAAAGCTGTTTTGTAGTTTCACGAGAGGCATGTGTTCAGCACTGTTTCTTTTCCTAGTTGTTCATTGTAAATGTAGCTTATTCAATCCTGCTGTGCATTTACGTTGTTTGAAATGCTGGCCTAAAAAGGAACTACAGTGTTTGTTCTTTGTGTTTCAGCTAGGTTGTCTTGCTCTAAAATGTTTTATTTATGCTATAATGTCCTAATTACATGTAATTTGTTCTTCTGTTTCCACAATTTTAACTCCTCCTTAAGTGGAAGAAGTTATAGAGCAAGCAGACTACCTGTATGGGAGTGGAGAAACAGAAAAGCTGTATCAGTTGTTGGTTCAACATAAAAACAGGTACTTGATTGCATTGAGATATTACTGCGACTTATTTTCAGTGCTCTTCTGTATCAATTTTTCAACTAATGTTCCCACTGTGGTATGCTGGAGAACCTTGCTTTCATCCTTATGTAAGCAGGAAAGAAGGACTCTTGATCTTTTTCCTCCTAATGGCAAAAATGAATGAAGAAAGGACAGGTAGCTGTAGAAGGTGAGGATTAACACTCAAGTTTTTCAGTCCTGCAGAGGAGGGGTTTTTGCTTGTGTTTTGTTACTCTAAGAATCCTTTAAAATACAATGCAAAACCTCATGATGTGTCTAGACATTACTAAATAATCAAAGTACCTAGAATTCAGGTATTGAAAATTTTTGAGTCATTGTTTCATTTCTTTTTCATTGCTGAGCAGCTGTTCTTTCCATTTTCATTTGTCTCACATTAGGATTTGAGTCTGAACAAAAAGAGCTCCTTACTCATGTAGTTGTCATAACTGCACAGAACATTATTGATAAGTGAACTGGAACAAGCTGTTTAAGGAAAAAGCAGAAAATGCATTGCAAACTGAAGAGTCCATTCCTTTGGAGGAGACAAGGCATCTCCTAGAACGCTTCTGGAGGAAGTCAACTGTTCAGTTGTTTTCAGTCGTTTCTAGTTTTGGGGGTTTTTCCCTCGTTCTTGCCAGGGGCGCAAGTATAAAGCCTGGACATTAAGTAAAGGTCCTAGTCTGTAAGGGACACCGTGTCATAAGCAACATGTAAGCTTGCTACTAGATGTTTAACAATACTAATTATTCTGTAAGGAGTAATGATTCCAGTAGCAGTACTTCACATTTTTGTGACTTGGCTGAAAAATGAGTCTGCTAGTTCTGTGTTACTGTGTTAATTAGAGCAAGACTGCTGCGTTGTGAGCAGTGACTCAGTTTCCAGATAAGAAAACTGGCTTTTATTGATACTCCGAGTTTAGCAATAACTCTTGTATGCTTTTTAGTATTTTTGGTTTCTGGTAGTTTTGACTTCAGTATTGCTGGGGGGGGAGCTTTATAGCCAGAACCTCTGAAAGACTTTCTAAACTTAAATTTAATATTAAAGTCTCTATTAAAATACTAAGCCAAAATTAAAATGGTAATTAGCTAAAAGTACAGTAAAGTGCAAGCAGTGTTTCAAAACAATATGTTAACTCAATAATAAAACTTAAAATCCCTTATCTTTGGCTATAACATACCATACACCGATTGATATAGTGATAAAAATAAATATATAAATGTACAGCTTTATGTGTTAGGGGTATGGCTAATCTATGTTTTTTCACTATTGTTGTAGGAAGAATTTCATTATTTAGGTACAATTACAGGGAAAAAGATGCATAATTTTTTAAACATTCTGGTAAACGTTAATATAAAATCAGTGGAATACTGCAAAAAATACTGTCTATCTAAGAACAAAGTAGTGCTTGTTTTCCTTCTGGTGTTTTGAGTGGTACTGTTGGGTTTTTAAAATCTGCATCTTTTTTGAGAAAACAAAGTCCTTTCCTACAGATACGTTTGCTTCGCAGAACGAAGGTATCGTTAGCTTGGGGTTGTATATAGCATAGAATGACAGATGATATGCTGTTGTCTTATCACTCGAGATACATATTTAAAGACTGGTTTAAGACCGTTGCTTGCTTTTTTTTCCATTATTGTTTTAAAATGTTAGTGTTTCTGTTCATAACTAGTGATGACGCAGAGTTGTTATGGCGGCTGGCGCGGGCATCACGAGATCTAGCTCAGCTTAGTAGTACTTCTGCAGAGGAGAAAAGACAACTGGCGTATGAAGCCCTTGAGTATACAAAAAAGGCACTTGAAAAAAATGAATCAAATTTTGCAGCACACAAGGTGAGCCAAGCAAAATAACTGAAATCTTGTTCTTTGATTTCTGCCAGTAGAAACTGGAACAAATGTCATTGTGCTGTTTCAGCAAACTTCAGCATAATTCAACTTTTCAGTTGAGAATGAGTGAGACTTCTAATTCTCCCTAACTTTCTTGGAAGATCAGAGTTCAGACTTTTGCAGCTATATTTCCTCTATATAGGAAACAGGAACTGGTTAAATGTGTGCAGGACCATGGAAGGAGGTGACTGATCAGGTTGATTACAGCTGATGTAATCAGCTCATCCTTCTCTGATGTAGCCTTAAAAATGTACATGCCCCACATTCAGCATGGTGTTTCTGTGCACAGTAGTAGCTCTGTAGAGTTTCTCTGGAAATACTTCAGGCTCTGGCTTTGTTCTGTTGGGGTTTTTTTGTGCTGCTTCTCTCACAGGCAGAGAGCAACAAAGTATAGTCAGTTGTGTTGGCATCTTGGATAAGAAGAGGACGTTAATGCAAGCAGACCAGCAAGTTGCTCTGATGCTGCCTGAGCTGTTCATAACAAATACTTCTTGCTTGTTCTCATTAGTGGTGTTGGCAGCTATTCTTTTTTTTTTTTTCCTTTTAATTTACTATTAATAGCTATAGTGCTGTATTAAATGTTTTATTTTTGTTCTTTGAATTACAGTGGTATGGAATTTGCCTTAGTGATGTTGGAGATTTTGAAGGAATCAAGACTAAAATTGGAAATGCCATTGTTATCAAAGAGCACTTCCAGGTAATGTAAAGTTTTTTGCATACAACAGCATTAATGCGTCCAGTATGTAGATTGAGTGATAGTTGTGAACTATTTGGCAAAAATTTGCAAGTGTACTTCTGTTCAAATCTCCTGGTGACACTTTGGTTTTTGGGTTATTGTGACAGTCCTGAATGCCCCAGCAGCAAGGAGTACAAATGATCTCCTGCAGTAAACTAAGTCCCTATAAAAGGGAGTCTTGAAATAGCTGAAGTGCTTTTGACACCTCTTAGGACTAGATAAAGTGTAACAGTGCTATTGAGAAATGGAAGTGTGGCTGTCCTTCTAACTGTGGATTGTGTAGCAGTAAAGGACAAATCCTGGAGAAGATAAAGGACTACTAATTTTATATGACCAGAAATTATTTCAAAATCTGAACATGCCAAGTCTCACGTGAAACTCTTAATGACCTACTAAACAGAACTGCTTAGCAATCTGTCAGTGACTTCACTTTCTTGGAGATGAGCCGATTTAGTTGTGCACTGAATAAATACCATATTGCCTTGAAATTCTACACACTGTTAATCTGGTTTAATTAACAGTAGGAAAACAAGTCTACTTTTTTTTTTATGTATTTTAATCCAGATGTGGCAGAACAACTTGTTACATCTTCTGTTTCTCTTTTTTTTCCTCTCACTAGAGAGCCATTGAACTGAATCCAAAAGATGCTACAACAATTCATCTTATAGGCATTTGGTAAGGCGTACTTTCAAACAAAAGTTAGAATGTGGCAAAGAAAAGTGCCAGAATATAAAATGTATTACATGAATTGCAGAAATGCTTGGAATACTTCAGTGGCTTGTAATTAGTTGATGCAAACATGAAAACCTACTGAACCTGTATAGGACATCATGCCTTAAAAAAGTCTTGGCTGTTAATTCTTATGCAGTTCAAAAAGATGAAAAATAATTGTTCATTCAATTTATTTGTATTACTATATGGAACTATTAAAAACTCATTTTGCAGACGTAAGTATGTTTCCATAGCAGACACCAGAGATTGTAAGTACAACTCATTTTGTCCTACTAGTGTGAATGGAGACAAAACTCAACACTGAATTTACATTGAATTTCAGTGATGGGTGCAGCTTAATACAATCTGTGTATAGTGAAAAGCTATTAAAAGTGAGATGTGTTCCTAAAAGACTTCTGTTATTATCTGTCATTGTATTTTAAAAGTTACATTTAAGTAAAGCAGCTTATAAATGCATATGCATTAACAAAAATCTCTGAAATTGAATTTACTGCTCAGTGAAATGGGTACTAAGAATTACTGTTACATAGCAGGTGAAGGGACTGGAAATACAACTTTCCATACTAACCAGAGTGTTCTGTGGAAGCAGTGTGATTGAAAGCAGTATCTTTTATGGGTTAGTGAGAGACCCCAGGCAGCATTTCTCGTTATTTGTCTGAAAGAGACCAAAGCTGCTACATTGTTTTGCAGGAAATCTCTACTGTAAGATTGAGAAATTGAAAATAATTAAAGCCAATGTATTCGTAGCTTAAAAATACTAAAAACCACAGCCACCTTCTCTATGTTTTTTTCTGGACTCCCGAGTATCAGAGTAAACTACAGTCTACTGCTCCAGAGTTTACTACTTTACAAACTTACTTTGTTTTTTCAGCATCCACCACTCATTCCCACATGACCTAACAATTGCAATAGTCCAAATTTCTAAACAGAAGCGTATGCTACCAACTGAATGAGCCTCCAGGTCAGTTTTGAGATAGGAAGCTTGTTCTGGAAAATACTTAAGACATTGTTCCTAAGGAACATTAGAAAAGGTGATAAAAATGTGAGATTATTATTGCTTTTGGCACTATTGCTTGTGGCACCATATTATATATTTAAATATACTCATTATTGAATCCCAGAGCATCTTCATCTGAAACTGGGATTTGGTATCAGCCAATTCTTGAGTATTTTTCTCCTTTCTAGTCTATCCTGGATTGAACCTCTTTTATTGGCATTTCTGGTAAGGCACATCTCTTGGCAAAATTTCAACTCAGACTGTGTATTCCGTGCCTTGCCCCCATCTCCTCTGAACACTTCCATTTATTAATTTTTCACCTCCTCTAGAGTGCTCTATTTTACACAGTGAATAATATTTTTATACTCATTGTGGGAGGGTAATAAATTGAATAGCATTGTTTAACATTTTTACACCTCGTATGTTCTACATATTTGAAATACTTAACAAATGTTTAATCCTTTCAACATCTCTAAGATGGGTGGCTGATTACCTTTGTTATTTAGTACATAGGAAAACAGCATAGTATGGCCTAGCCTAGAGCACAGTAGTTTGATTCCTGGGTTTATTTTCATTCTTATAGGTTATAGAGTCTTTCAGGAATGTACTGCAGATCTTATTTATATTAATAATTAAGAAAAAGAAGGTAGTGTTGAGGTAAGGCAATGACATTACTTGGTTGTGCCCTGTTTTTGCAAATGTATTAGAAAAATATCAAATATACGTAAATCGTTACAATCATTCAAGCTCAAAAGCTGTCTCATGGCTAATAACTGTATCCAGTTTTGTCTAATGTAATAGCAGTTCCCAGTAAAAGACACACCAAAATTTCTTTAGCAGAGCTAGGCAGCAACTTCAAACATCTTGCTATTTTGTTGTACAGTCGTAAGAACTTGCTTATAGAACTTGCAGTGTGGCTACAGTTTTTGTGACTCTTGGAAACAACAATTAAGACATCCAAGATATGAGAATGTTACTCAAAAAAAAGAGAAAAATGTGAAGGGTATATATGAATGTTTCCTTTCACTCCAGGTGTTACTCCTTTGCCGAAATGCCATGGTACCAAAGAAAAATAGCTGCTACACTATTTGCCACACCACCGACCTCCACATTTCAAGAGGTACAATATGAAAATGTTTCACAGATTATTATTCCCCTCACAAAGCTGCTGATACACTTTTACTAACCTTCCTGACAAAGCTGACCTCTACTTATGGAATAAGCATGCGCTTGTGAGTTTACAACTGTCAATAATAAAATGTGAATATAACAGGAGAGTGAGGGATATCTAAAAACAGGAAAAAAAATTTTTTTTCAGCTGTAACACACCTAGAATAGTGAAAATTATTTCACGTAGTTCATGCAGCAGAAAATAACAAGCTATATGTAACTTAGTTTGTATTTACTATTACGATCTATTGCAGATAACTGTCTGTACTAGTTCCAGTGCTGATGATTTATATGGTGGTGTTATACCATGTACTTATTTGATAGGACTACTAGATTTTTTCCCTTTATACTAAATGCAAAAAGCAACAGCTTGCTTTGTTACTTAGCACGAACAAGTACCTTCTCATCCCCTGGCTCCCTATGGTGTGGTTTTTTTCAGTTGAGAGTAATTTTGTTCATCTTTGCTATGAAAATTGCTTTGTCATACGCCCTAGAACATATGTCCATATGTATATCTTCTAGGGTGTCTACACAGTGTGCATCTTATTTAAACACTTGTACGTATATAGAAACTTGAAAACTAAATTGGTATTAGGAAAGTTTGCTGCAGCTGTTAAAATCTTCGTTTGTTTAGCTCAACCAATAATGGGCCCACTATGTTTTCTTCTTTTAAGGGTGGGCAGGGGGCAAGAGTCACTACAAAGTAATTGTAGAAGGCTGCTTGCTGTTACACAGAAAGCAATCTAAGCTCTGATTGAAAAAGAAATAGAACTTTTTAATGGAACGTCAACCTTGTAAGTTTTGCTGAAAATCACTCTTGGAAGAATACACACTGTCAGTCAGGATTTCGAATACTGCAGAATCAGGCCAGTCCCAGCATCGAGTTCTGTAGCGCTTAAAGTGGCTGAAGAAGTAAACTTGTCCCAGAACCTGTAGTTGAGCCATACTGGTAAGACTTCTGCAGTTTCAGTACAAAATCTGTTTTGTAGATACATGCGCAGTTTTAAGTTCTCTGACAGTATTTTCCCTCCAGCTAGTAACATCAGAAGAGGTAGGAATGGACTGAAATTTCTGATGTGCAGGATGGGAAACCAATTGAAAAATACGTGCGGATTTCATAAAGGTTTATTCTCATGTAAGAGGATACTAACTGGTGTTCTGTAGGAATCAGTTCTCCCTGAAGTATAGTCAACATTAATGACCTGAATCATAAGATTTGTTTCATCTGTTAAATTCATACATGAGAACTGGACGGGGGAAACTGCAGATATGCTGGATGGTAGAAATGAAATTAAAAAATGATCTTGACAAGTTGAAGACTGGAAAAACACAATCCAATTTGCTAGGGACAAACAGGAGGTACTGTACTTATGGAGGAAGTGGCAGGGGAATGGTTGGATAAGTACTGGTTCTGCTGAGATGTCAGATCTGATTGTACATTGAAGAGAACCATCAGTAGCATGCTGAATTAATAAAAATAAGATCATGGACAGGAAGTCCTTATTCAGCTGTGTTAAGCATGCGTGTAAGGCTTTAGTTTGACTACTGTGTTGAGTTTATTCTCCATTTTAAAGAAGACAACCTTATCTTTTGCAGGCTCTTCATTACTTCCACATGGCAGAGGAAGGTAATACTTCTAGCCTTTTTGGACAGAATAATAACTTTTAGGAATGATGACTTCCAATAAAACTCTAGCTTTTGGTATTATCTTAATAGCATATGATCTGCAGATAAACATATCAGCCTGTTGTGCTAGTCAACACACTGGACCGTTACATTGGAATGTTTCATCAGAGATACTTGAAGTACATTACATGCTCACTATCATCACTTTGAGTGTAACACCAGGGTTTTTTTCAGGATAAGTATTAAAGTGAAATTTGTACCTTCATTAGTAACAAAGTACTCTTTCCCAAGGCATTCCACTGGAATGCAGGGGGAAGAAGCAAGCAAAAGGGAATGTTATGTCACTTTTCCTAAATTTTCGTAAAGTTCAAAAGTCCTCTGTATTCTAAATAGAACAACAGAGAAAGCACACTTTTTTTATTATTTCAGAAGCTATTTGGATCAGAGTGCCAATCTAACGGGCAGTAAACCTGTCCAGATGTAAAAGAAAATACGGACTATTATTTTTCCAAGAGGGAAGCCATTAAGCAAAACTGACTAGCTGAAAGATAAAGGAAGACAAGGGAGGACAGTGTTGTATGAAAGATTTGTATGTGGTTTTATCAGTGAAGTTAAAAGGAAAAAAGTTCACTGTGTATCTTCCCCTCATTGTCAAGGAATGCACCTGTGAACCGGAATGGTGGACTTACTTAATCTCAAAATGTGCCTCAAAAACACCTCCATATATTTTGAATCCTGACCCTAGATCCAGCAGCAGAGAAAGCCTCTGCTATAAGTATGAACAGTAGGCAAGACTAATAATGATTGATAGCCAAAGTATGCTTTATAAAACCAACTTCTTAAATCTCTCCTGAAAAATGTTAAATGTGGGTACAAAGAGTTTTAAGTTTTCTTTCTGTGCAGCAAAAGCTAAGCTAATACTGTATGTGTGTGGTCTGAAGCTAGGAACTGCCATTTCATTTCCTTGCCTGCACTTGCTAAGCTGTTGCATTGCCTCTTGCACCTACTAGGTCCAGAAAATCACAGAATCTGCAAAGCAAAGCTGTTGTGCATTGACCTCACTGCTTTCCTCTTTGTGAGGAATGTAGTCTCATTTGGTATATTAACTAACAAGCTGCTAGGTAATGTAACTGTATATGAGACCAAAATCTAGCAAGTAGAAGTTTTACCTTGGCTTCCTTCTGATACAAAGCCAAAATACTATTAATCTTTTCCCAACTAAGTATTTAAAAGAGTGATGCTATATCATGGCTTTGATTGGTAGTATGCTGCTCATTCTCATTTAAAGCTTTTCTCCTGTCTCTATACAGCTGACCCAAATTTCTACAGCAAAAATTTGCTCTTTTTGGGAAAGACATACTTGAAGTTAAACAATAAAAAGATGGCTCTTCTGTGGTTAAGTAAGGCAAAGGAGTATCCTGCACATACAGAAGAGGACAAACAGGTAGGAAGTTAAGAACTGTAATAGTACAATCATATATTGTAACCAACACATGGGACATCATGGCAGTGGAATGTTTTATAAAGGTAACTTGGAGTAAATTGTAGTTCAGCACCTGTAATCCAGGATCACATCCAGACACCAAGAAATTCTAGTATGTTGGTAACTGCCTCTGAACACAATGGTTGGAAATCCTCTGTTTATAATAAAGAACTATTATTCTCTGTTCTTCATGATGTTTTTGTAGTGCTAACAACAACTCAGGCTTAACTGTGTTGTTGAAGTTAAGGCAGGCACCTGAGCTAACCTATGTCTGTGTGAGCACAGATTCACTTTGCATATGCCTACAAATGGAAAGGTAGAAATCATATTTTGGAAGAGCTAAAAACCACATGAACAGGAGGAAGAAAAAAGCATGGATGTATCAAAAACTTGCTAGATCCATAAAATTTGACATTGTAGTCCTTTGCAGGCCCCCAGGGAGAGATTCAGACTATCTGAATTGAGACAAATGGAAGTAATGTATCTTTGACAGCAAATCTCCAACACTAGGTGACCTGAGGCACTTCATTACCCTTTTGAACTGCTCGGAAAGACCCTGGTTTGGATGGGTAGGCATCTGCTTCCTACCTAAACACATACAGAGTACTTCCAGGAGGGTTAATCCATTAGACTTGTTCTGACCTAATACTTCACTCAGTATAAACCACAGCAATTGCACTTATCTTTCATAACAATCCTGTTAACATCAGGAGTAACAAAGCCTGATTTCCAATTGATTTTTTCTTATAGGTGTTTGACCTCCAATTCATTTAGCATGAAGCTGCAGCATGAGATACTTTAACTGTTAGAGAAAGCATCAGAATGTGTTGTGACATTCTGAATGTCCTAATTGCAAGAAATAGTTTGGTAAGATTTTGCACTTCACACCTCAGAAAAAACACTACTGAGGTTTGCCTCCATAGATTCTTCAGTAAGGCTCGAACTGTTTCTCCCAAGTGAGCTCCTTCAGTAACACCTTTCAATAGAAATACAACTAAAGGTTCTGTCCCTCCACTGTTTTGCAAAGTGTATAGGAATTTAATAGCCTGAAGGAGTAGTGGTCTCGGCATGTAGGAAATTAGTTAAATCTTCTAACGGTTACTAGTAGTTGGAGGCACACAGGAAACCAGTGATCACAAAAGCTTGCCTTTCTTTAGAAACAATGCAAAAGGAGTCAGTAGCAATTTTTGTGCAGTAGCCAAGTTGTTAAACCGCTTATCTGCTTGCAGCAGTGCTTGGCCTCCTGGTACAAATATCTTTCCTTATCTCCTGGAAACGTGCAGAGCTGCTGACCTGAGAGAGGTGGTATTCTCTCCATTCTCTGGGTGCATGTGTAAAATGCAAAATTAATTGGGAACTAGACTTGGTAGTCCAGTAAGAAGGAACCTGGCCTTTGCAAAGAAATTGGAATTCTTGTCTGTGCATTTGGCAGAGGTAGGCATAAGTAGGTTTTCTGAACATGTTACCTCTTGAGTATCTGCAGTATCTGGCTTACATTGTCTGCACTGCTTGCTGTCAGGACCAGAAGTTTGTTGGTTTTTTGTTTTGGTTTGGGGGTTTTTCTAATATAGATGATAGAGGTCATGTCCAAATGTTATTAGATTTTACCCAAAATCCCTAGGCAAAGGGAGCCTCAGAAACAGTCTTCTCAGACTCCCTTAGCCACTGTCCAGAGTTTTGAAAACCCTAGTTTGGCTGGTTATGGTCAGATACAGGACAACTTACTACATGCTACTATTGGACTACAGCAGATCAAGAGCTAATCATCTGTATTCAACACAAACTTACTACATATAGTAAGTGAATTACACTGAAGGCACTGGCATCTATGTTTCAAGTACTGAGCATCTTGAGCTACAGAAGAAAAATGACTAGTCTTAGGAGGGTTCTGAATTTACAGAACTGTGGTGAAATGTTTGAGTGCTTGTATGCTAAGTTCTGCTAGAAGAGCCTGTAACTAGCTGGCACTGTTTTGTTTTGAGTATATTTATTTCTTTCAGGTACAGAAAGAAGCTTTGGAGTTGCTTAATTCTATATAACAAGAAACAAGATAATGGGAATTCAGTGCCTCAGGTTTCAGCAGCACAGGAAAAAGACCCCAAATACTACTTTGGTTTATTGAAGCTGTTAATAAAAGTATAGCTTAAACCTGCTGTCTCCATTTTGTTTCAATTAAACTGTCAGCTAGATCTGTTTCATTATGTGATCCTGTCTGTTGATTTACATGGGAATTTTTTTACACTGTTCAGCTGCAAGTTATGTATGAGGAATAAGCATAACTTTAAAGAAAGGAGGTGCAGGGCCATTACATCATTACAAACCTGCAATTTTTTCTAGAGCATTCTCCTTCTGTGGGGTTCAGTGGCCTTCAAGAGTAATATATATTCACATTATTAGATGTTCCTACAGATTTCTCATTAAGGCTGCACAAGCAATCTTGATTCCAGTACACTTAAATGGTAGTGTTAGACTTCGTAAAAAGTGCTGTGGTTTTAAAAAAAAAAAAAAAGGTGAAATTGGGAACACCTAAGAAAATCCATTTATGGGTGATACCAGCATATACAATGAGAAGCTTTCTGTGAAATATAAATACTTATTTGCACATTGAGCGGCTGTGAAGTCTGAGGATTTAGTGGCTGCAGAATGTTTACTGGACATATGTGCTCCTTCCCTTAGGCTATGATGACTGGATACTCCCAGTGCTTTAGGAGGGAACTACAATTTGGAAGCACGTACACTTCTGTTTGTTTGTAGAGATAAAGTAAAACTTTCTTCTTGTTCCTGCTTCTATTTTAGCAAGAACGTTCACCAGAAAAATAAATTAATCTAAGTTAGATAACCAACACAGAAAATATTTACACTTTCCAAACAATATATTCTGGTTACCCAGCAGAAAAAAAGAGGACCAAATAATGAAAAAATGGTAGGCAAATACACATGGTATTGCCAGTAGAAAGTCTAACAAATCTAGAACAAATTGACTATAAATACATGGTGTTCGATTTAATATAAAAAAGTGTTGTGATCTATAGGAGGAAGATGAAGAAGGGTATAATTTGCTTAGACTAAGAAAGCAAGCCTGTGCCAAGTCAGTAGAAAAATCCACAGCTGAGAGACGATCTAGAGTTTTAATTCTAGCCTCAGATCATGAAACTAGTTAAAAGGTGGTTTTCTCCACTACAGTAAAGTAATTCTTATTCTTCTATTAGTAGAGCATCAAAATGAAGTCTTTGATATGTCAAAAGTCCCGGGGTAGATGAGATGTAGTGTTTCAGAGAGATTCTTCAAAATTTTCTGCATTCATAGACTACAAAAACATCTGCCATACACAAAACCACTTCTGGCAGCTTTGTGGCAGAGGCACCTTACTTTGGTGCCTTTTCTGCTGCAGAAAACAGTATCTGCACAAAGAGAAAGGGTATCCGGGTACCAGGTAAAGATTGTCGAGTGGAGAAGAGCAGCTGAGTTGCTTGCAGGAAGAAAGGAACAAACAGAACCCATGACCTACTCAGTAGCTCCTTCAAGTGGTATTCCCTCACTGGTTCCCTCGTCTGATTTCCAGCCTTTACTACCTTCCCTCTCTTTGCGGTCTTCCTTCCTCCCCCCAAATACAGCTGAATTACAAGGAATGCAAACGGGAAAAGAAGCAGTTACAATGCAGTATTACTGAAATTCCCAGAAAGTCTAACTATGCGCACACACACACAAGTGTATAAATCGTAGGTTTTTTTCCTCGAGCACCATGCTTTCAGTCAGTCTTGAAACCAATAGATCATATACACGTACAGAAAGCCACTAGGTTTGGTTTTTTCCTTGCTTACTAACCCTTATCCACAGGAAAAACGATTGCAGGTATCAGACAGCTAAAATTATCAAAACAATAAAGCAACTACATTCTTGTGATGTGCTGTCTTTTTTATTTTTACTGTTTTGTTCACTTACTCACAGGTTCACAAAATTCAGCAGTTGGTAGTGGGTCACCCAAGTCATTCATTAGTGCAAATTCATGAAGTTCAACTCTATGACATTTAGCCCTCTTAACTGTCTTTTAGGCAAGCCACACACACTTCTGTTGCCCAGCCTTTGACCTTTTTTTTTCTTTTTTTAAAGCTCCCTCCATTCTAACCAGCATAAGTCATAATTTAAGTGGATTTACACTTGAAATTAATTTAATGCTATATTTATGAAAATGGTTTTGCAGAAGATATTTGGTGTAGTATGAAAAACCCTCAAAGTGGTGGAAATTTTTGAAACTCTTACAGAAAGGTCATCTAAGATAGCAGTCTATTGAGCCCGTTGCACTACCAGTGTTACCAAAGCTATGTGCAGGTTAACAGCTCCACAGTAGGCTGTGCGTATGCAATACAAAGCCTCAAGAGAATCCAATATGTAGAAAAAATAAAATTTTGGCAGAATTCAGTTGCTGTGTTGGAAAGATACATGAACAGATATAGCTTTTTTTTCTGCATGTACACTTTTAACAGTGCAATATGATATGTTACAGAAGTGGTTTTAATCATTCTAAGAAATCATTTGCATGTGTACAAAATTCTGTATAAGTTAAATGTAATGGAATTTACAGTTAATATTTAAAGCATAATACAAATGGTAATTTTAAACATGTTTTTACTCTATAATAAGGAAGCACAGTTTGCTAAATGTAGCATTTAATATAATTCACATGAATAAGGTGTTAAATTTCTTTTTTTTTTAAACACATCTTTGCAGTTCAGCAAATGCCCTCAATGCCAATAAAACTAATTTTAAAATGGCTTTATATTATTGTGCACTTAGGACAAACCTGACCTACGTAAAAGAATGACAGATTTTAGACATACTAACTTAGTTCAGGTACATCTGAATTTCTGTAAGAACTTAAGAGGAACAAGAGTATTTAATACTTAGGAATATTTTTATCTGTGCAAAGCTTATGTAACTTTCATTTTATTTGGGTTTACTAGATCCAATAACTGAAACTGAATATGAACATAGAAAGCAGCAGTTCACATTACCTTTTGTATACCTTATAACTCAGTTTACATTCATATACTACAAAGTTGTAAAAAGGACATCACAGATTGAAAAGGGAAACAAAAAACAACAACAAAAAAGAAACCTGTAAGACACCAGACCAAGGAGAGAATGTGTAGTATTTTCTCTTTTATTATTATTTTTTTCTTTGAAGATTACCTAACATCCTCGTGGTAATAACCCAAGGTAATACGTAAACAAATTTCAATGCTGCTCAAATGAATTAAAATATTCTGTTCAGCTCCTACAGTAAGTCAGAACAGTGGCACCAATTCCTTTCAACATTAAATCACATTCATCTTATTGTACATGACTCTTGTGCAAGTAGTAAAGGCTTTATTCATGACCTTGGCTACATCAGTAGAGAGGGATATATCAGCTATTTATATATTTAAAAAAATTAAACTGACAGAACAACATATTCTGTCGTCTCAAATACCAGCAGCATCTTTCTACATATTTAGGATACGTTTGGCCTAAGCCTTTAACACCTTTTAGAACAGCCATGCAATAAAACAAACTTGGAGATGTTTCTTAAGAGAAAACACAGAGCAGTTTAAACATTTTTTCTGAATAATAAAGCCAAGATAAAGCAAATCCAGGCCCTTTTAAATGGCTGCAACTTTTCAAACACTTAAAGCTCTATAAAACTAGAGCCTATTAGTATATATATTTATATTTTTTATATATATTTTAAATAAGTCTCTTGTCTGCTTTCAAAATTTATGAGGGGTTTTTCTGGTCTTTTGGAAGGGCAATAAATAAAAGTAGAAAAGGCTGAACTGTTTTGCATATCTTTGTGGAAGAACGGAGAACAATTCTACTTTTAGAGTTTCAGAAATATCACTGTACAGAACAAAAAGCTTATATACAATTAAGTGTGCAATTTTAGTTGGCTGGGCCTTTTATTATGCAAGATCTCCTTTTTGACTAGAAGCCACTTCTACTCTTGACCAAATCCCTCTGTTTCTTCAATGGCAAAGAGCAGCTTCTCTTTTAGTTGTTCATAGCTTTTATATGGTGGCAAATCCAAACGATTAAAACTGAGCAGGAAAAAAAACAAGATTTTGTTAAGTTTATCTAAATTCCATATAGAACACTACAGAACTCGACTGCTATAGCAGAAGTTAAAAGTGTTCTGATTTAACAATTAGAAATGAAGAAAAAGCAATCAGTGCAATCTCACTGCCTTGACATTTCTACGAGCAGTAAAAACAGACAAAGTTTGAGAGGAATACTTTAAGAAACAAAAGACTGGTTACCACATCAGATAAAACCCAGAACCTTTGAAGACTAAAGACAGCAACTATAATACTCAGAAAAGGAAATGTTCGCCATGAAGTTTAATATCATCCTAGATTGATGTGTCTCCAAATTCCAGCAAGAGCATGAAAAAGCTGAATTTTTCTCCTTCCTACACATGCCTGGATATAGGGGGGGTGTTCCCTCTAAACTTTACCCTAAAAGGCTTCTGCCAAAATTCTGTTTCATTCCCTCTCTTCCCCAAAATTATCTTAGACAAAGAGGGATGTTTAACTCTTGCAGTCATCACTTGAAAAAACAGCACTGGTGGAGAAAATGGTAAAATGGAGAATCCTCTGAAGCAGTTTAAAAGTATGATGAGTATTATTGTTACCATGTTGCCAAAGGAAGGTGCATCCATTTTGCACACAGCATATGTGGGAAAGTGATCTGTGTGCCTGTTGCACCAGTTTGGTGTAGGAATGCCAAGCCAATAATAGTCTGAAGCCTGACAGGAAAAAGTATCTGCATTCTTGGCTAAGCATCCTTGTTTTGAACATTTGCTGTGATTTCTTTCATGCTACTTTTTCTCATGACTATACATTTATCTTTTATAATGTTACTGTATAATAAGTGTGTCTAATAACTGTATATACCTAATACCAACAAGAATTTTGTTCAGTTATTTAATATTCTCTAAAATACAGAAGTAGCAAAACACCTCTCAGTTCTATGCAAGAAGGATGATATACTTTTGATAGATCTGATACTGACAAACTGTATACAGTACAGTAGCAAAATTTAAGAACAGGGCAACCAGAGAAGTTTTCAATACTGGCATGTCAGAGCAATCAGAGAAGATGAAGATGGAGATAGTGAACTGATTCAAATTAGATTTTGTTTGATTTGGTCAATGCAAGACCAAAAGAGAGAACCACTAAAAGTACAGAAAGTTCACATGTAACAACTCACCAAGTGTGACTTCTTGGTAACCAGGTTTCCTTACCAACTTTTTCAATGCAGAAT